TCAATCTGTTAGGAAAAAATTGTAATCCTGCCTTCCTTGTGGACAAAAATTTCACTGAAGACAGAAACGACAATAGGCTTCTCTCTAGACTGAAGTATTGGCAGGGTTACAATGAAAATACTGCATTCCCTTAATGCTCAATTGAAAATGAGACAAAAAGCAATGGAGCTCACTAAAAATAGTTTCTAAGACAGTTGATTATTATATTTGTACTATTAAAATATTAACAAGAAGATGTGCTCCCACTGAATTAATGTATCTCTGTAGTACAGACAGAAGGTACAGACATACCAATGACTCATAAATCTGTGCATTCCCGCACACAGCTCTCCCTATAGACTTCCTCCTGCCCCTCCGCTGCCAGCCTAATGAATAAGAACTACTCACATTGCCTGGAAGTGGCATGACGGTTCCATGTCCAAGATACATCTTTTCTGTTGAACATATTTACATGTTGACTAATTCGCTATCTCTACTTTTTACCATACGCTGTCACCTCAGAACATCTATAAAGCTTAGATGTTGCTCAACAATGAACTTTGTGCACAATAAACACAAGTACTTTACCAAAAAATGCACATAGGGGCTTGTGTTCATAATTGGGATTCATCTTCTAGATGTGGAGATATTAGCAAAGAGCCTCCCTTACCCCTCTTCTTCACCACTCTGGTGACTAACTTCAGGAAGACACTGGCTTCAAGAGGTAGATTAATAAAGGTCACTCCCAGAAGACATTTCTTCATAAAAACTAACAAAGTACATTTATATAGGGATTATTTCCTACTTCTAATATCCAGCAATATTAACTGAAACACATAAAGAACAATGGCTAGACAACCTGAACCATCTTAACAGGCGTAGAACACCCTTCTGCATACTTCCTTCCGCCAACCCCCACCCCCCGCCACTACTCAGTGAAAAGTAAGAATGCTTTCCAAGACATCAAGCTTAACAATTTCATTCTCAAAATGCAACCATTCCTGTGATGTCACAAAAAATATTTAAAGGGTGTTAAGTTAGTCCGCTATCTTTTTTTTTTTAACACATTATGCACTTTTAAACCTCTAGAAAGACTAATATTCCCAAAAAGGACTTAAGTCTCCCACCACACACACAGTAGCATTAAATAAACTGCATCTAACAAAGGCTGTAATTTGACAGGAACAATTTAGCCTAGGACCCTTCCCATCTCTATCACCCCAGTGGTCAGCTTTATGCATCTATAATGTTTCCAGGGAATTAACAATTTCACTTCCTAAGTGTTTTTAAGAACAGTCTTTCGTATGAATTTTAACATAAAGTATACCCAATGTGTTAGTTTCCTAACTCTACTTTTGCCATCACTGGCAACCTCTTCAACATCTAGAAGTCAGACTAGATAGCATACATTAGGGCTCACCTGTCCTTTATAAACACTATATAGATAGAAAAATAAAACAAAATGCATAGATGTAGGGGACAATCAATCTTGCTTCACCAAACACACATTGGTATGAAGCCCTTTGTACTTTTTCCTGCACCCTCCCTGAGCCAGCACAAATGTAATGTATATTGCTCAGAAAAGTGGTTTTATCATTCCAGTTTCAAAAAACAATATGAATTTTAACAAAAGGATATCTATAAAATGTGTTATTTGCTACCTCTACTTTAACATACTTTGTGCATTTCTGAACATCTAGAAAGACTAGATGTTTCAAATAAGGGCTTAAATTCATCTGCTATATACACTGTAGTATTGAATAACTACACATATGTAACAATGGTTATGTCTTAAAGTGTCTTCTAAATAGGAACATTCTGGCCTAGAACCCTTCATTTCTTCCAATTCCTTCTCTCCTACATTGTGTGTGATATAGATATTTGCCACTTATAGATGTTACAATTTCACTTACAAAAAGTACTTTTTAGAGACAGCCTTTCTGTGAATTTTAACACAAAGTACACAATGTGTTAGTTTACAAACTCTACTTTTGTCACACATTTGCAACCTCTTTAATATCTAGAGACTAGATATTTTAAAATTAGAACTCATTTGTTCAGTATATACACAATATGTACAGTAAAGCAAAGTTAAATGAAATATACATAACATATAGGGTAATGGATAAGCTGAAATTTCCTAGCACACACTAACAAAATACCTTTTGCACTTTCTTCCTTACCACCTCCCTCAACCCAATGAACAAGTGCAGACAGTACACTGTTCAGAGGTAGTTTTACAACTTCATTTCCAAACACAATATTTCTCACATTTTTAAAAGCTATTTGCATAAACTACTTTTACCTTTAAGTACATCAAGCAATTCTAAACATCTAGGACTAGATATTGCATATATGAAGTTGTCTGTTATACACACAGCACTGATAAAAATTGCACATATAGCAATGGTTATAATCTGAGGTATCTTATAAATGTGACAATTTTGGCTTTGAAATATTTCCTCCTCACTTCCTTCTCTCTGCCTTCAAATCAGTGAGAAAGTACAGGCATAATATGTAATGCTAGAGATAGTTGAGCAAATTCATATCCAAAAGATACGAACAGAGAATAAGCTTTCTTATGAATTTCAACACAGAGTGTACAAAATGTGCTAATTTCACTACATAAAACTATTTTGTCCTACACTGGCAGCCTCTTTAATGTCCAGAGACTAGATGATATAAAATTTGGACTTATTTGTGCATCTTACACACTATATATGCAAAACAAAATGCATAAAAATACAGAAAGAATGGTGTCTGAAAATGTCTAAGTATGAAGACACTAGCATGCTACCATTTGCAATTGCTTCCTTTCCACCTCCTCCAAACCACTGAACAAGTAGACAGTATCTACCATACTACTTAGAGGGGTTTCACAATTCAGTTCCCCAAAGAAATATTTCATATGAATTTTTGCAAAAAGCTATTTGCAAAGTATTATTTTACTACCTCTACATTTAACATATATTAAACACTTCTAAACATCTAGATTGAGTAGATGTTTCAAATAAGGACCCAATTTTTGCACAGCAGTCTTCAATGACTGTATACATGTAACAAGTTATCATTTGAAAGTGGCTATGACTTTCTTTGTAGACAAATCTTAATATGTATCTCTGATTACTTCCTTATAATACTATCTGAAAAATATTTTGATGCATATTATTGAATTGTCTTCTTAGAAGATTCTTATCAACTGTATTTTAGAGCTTCTGTTTTTCCACACTCTCAACCACATTGCAAATAAACCAATAACTTTTACTAACTTGGTAAGTGAAAAAAAGTATTTGTAATTTTGCATTTCCTGGAACCCTAGTAAAGATTTCATTTATGTGCTAGTCAGCTTTCTGTTACTGTGACAAATACCTAAGATAAGTCAACTCATAAAAAGGAAATGTTTATTTTGGCTCAAAGTTGTGGAGGTTTTGGTCCATGATTGGTTGTTGCTATTGCTTTTGGGCCTGTGTCAAGGCAGTACATCATGGCAGGAGCACATGATAGAGTCAAGTTCTCTCCTAATAGCAGTGGGAAAACAAAGAAAACAAGACCAGAGGCCCATGCCTGTCCCCTTTAAGGACATATACCTCCAGTGGCCTATGACCTCCTACCAGGCATTACCTCTTAAAAGTTCCACCACCTCCCAGTACCACCACAGTCTGGTAATCAAGTGTTTAACACACAGGCCTTTGGGGGACATTGCAGATACAAACTATAGCAATATGTTTATTGCCCATCATTATTGATTCTCTTGTGAATTTATTATTGGTTGACTTTGTAATTTTTTAGACCCAAATACATATTGCTAAGTTGCTGGCCTAAATGGCTGATTCATTTATATTCTAGTGTGTATTTTTCTTTCTTGTGAATTGTCTCTTTCTCATTTAAGATAGCATGTTTTTTTTTTCCTGACAGAGATGTTCACTCATATTTAAAGGTAGAATGACAAGTGCTAAAAATGTTGAAGGGAGGGGATGTATACTTGAATTTTAGGTTCTGGAAGCCTGGAAGAATATTTAGCCTCAAGGGCAGAATGAAAACAGAGGGGGATATGGACTGTGTTTTTGACTTCAGCCAAAAACATCTGATAACTATTCCTGGGTTATTACTAAGCTCTGAGAGCATCATTAATTATAGTCTTTTGAAAAAACACAACTAACAAAGATTGTTTTTGTTTCTGTCCATTGTCTGTAAGGCAAGACGAAGAATGAAGAGAAAAAATGAAGCAACAAAATGAACTGATCATCAGGTTATTTAATTACCACTTTTAATTCAATGCCCCAGCAAGCCATATGATGGTGAGCTACAAGAGCTTCTTACAAAATCAAGCACACTTTAGATTTGTATTTTTTCTCTCTCTCCATTTATCTCTCTTTAACAGCTATTCTGATTACTTATTTGAGTCAGAAAATATGAAATGGTTGTATAATGTGATTTAATGAAAGTTTGTTCAATGAATGAATGAATAAATCCATGACATAGATTCAATTGTACCTGGATATGATCAGAGTCATGAATTTGCTTGAATCAAGTGCTAGAAAATCATAATTATTTTAAGTTATGGTCAAATCTGAAGTTAATTTTAGGAATAAAATTTTAACATAAGCTTGAAATCCCTCTAGGAAATGTCATGAAGCAGAATAATCTATATCTATGAGTTAATATTTTATGGTATGGTAGCATTACAAAGTCTCATCACTTTCTATTGATATATTTTAAAAAGAAATGGCACCTGTTAAAGATATGGGAGGAATTTTCTATTTTTAGCAGGTAAATTATCACATGATAAAATCCATTTTGGCACTTAGAAACAGTATTGTATTGCAGGATATTTCTTGATAATATTTGGTCAGATTTTCTTTGATGGTGACTTCCACTGATGAATACCTTATTATTTGCTCTTGTAGAAATTTAGGAAGGAAATTTAAAGGATTATTATTCTGCATCTTAATGTGTGCAGATGAGTGTTGAGGATGATAGAGAGGAAAGAAATCTGGGACATGTTGAGATGAAGTTCTTCATCACTTCTCCTGTGGCAAAGATAATGGTTCATTGCTTTGTTGCTCATCACCTTCTTCTGCTGGTTCTTGGAGACTTTCATCCTCTTCCTTCAATGTTCCAGGTTCCTCTGTTTCAAGCTGTGTCTTGGGGGAGGTCATATTGTCATTATCCAGGCTTTTTAATAGAGTCTCCCTGGTCTCTGGTGCTCTACCTTCCTCTTCTTTGATATCTGGGGCGTGGACCTTTAGTTCTTTTCCTCTTACTCCATTTCCAGGGAAGTGTGTTACAGAAATCTGGTCAGGGCTGTCATTTTCCAAGTGACTTGGAGTCTCTACCTCTAGAGACTGGCTGTTTTTGCCTCCGGCTGTGGACTCTAGTGCCTCGGGGTGTCCATCAGGCTTCATAGTTGCACCTTGGTCTTTGGTTCCTGAGCTTTGACTTTTGTATTCCCCTCTGGCAGGCTGTTCCTGTTCCTCTGGGAGCTTCACATCCTCCCCTCTGACTGATAGCACCACTGCATCCTGCACTCTGCTGTTCTCATTTGGTGCTCTCTGTTTCTGGGGATCTGGGTTCTTGAGACCTCCTTGAACAGACCCTTCCTGTGAGTCTACCTGACTCTGGGTATCCTCTTGCACATGCAGTTCACTTGTCTCTGAGCTGCTGTTACTTTCCTCTGAAGCCAGGCTTTTGGGAGTTTCACAAGACCTCTCATCATTCTGTGAAACTGGTAACTTGGGATCCTCCCCCTCCCTGATGGATTGGTCATGAGTCTTACTGGCCCTGTTCTTTTCTTCTTCAGACTGCTTCTCTAGTGGTGCCAACTCTTGTGTTCTTTCTCTTGTCCCTGGTGCCCCTTCAACTGCAGGACCATTTTTGCTGATGACAAATGCTTCTGCTATGCCTTCCTCAGTATGTCTTGCCTCTTCTTCTGATTTTCCTTTAGTTTCAGGGTGATTCTGACTTCTTTCTTCTGAGCTTAGATCTTGTGTATCAAAACTTTTTTCAGCATCTTTTTCTTTTGATGATCCTTGGAGTTCCTGATACTTCCCATGCTGTGTTTGGGCTTCCAGGGCTGGGAGCTGAGGTTTTCTCTCACCTTCTTTCTGCCCTGCTGCTCCATGTGTCTTAGGGCTTCTCCTGTCTTCCCTTTCAGCTCTAATATCAGGTATTTCTGAAACATTTCTGTTACCACCTTGTACTGGTTGGTCCTTTGTTTCATGTTTTCTTTCTCGTGCTGGCAATTCTTGGGTCTCAGATGTGTTACTATCATCCTCAGGTTCATGTGAATTTGTGGTCTCAGGTGGTATCCCACCAACATCCTTTCTTGGTGCTTGAGTCTCAGATGCTCTGCTATCATCCCCAGGATCAGTTGATTTCTGTGTCTGAGATGGTTTCCTGGCAGCAGTTTTTCCTGGCAGGTCAGCATGCTTTGAACTGACTTTATCTTCTCTTTGCAAGAATGATTCTTGTGCTTTAGAGTGTTCCTTAATGCCACTTTCTGTAGCATCTTCCTGATCTTCAGATGGTCTCTGTGTTGTTTCTTGTTGTAGTTCCAAGTTCTCTTCCTGTTCTCCACTTTGCCTCTTGGCTGGTTTATCTCCTTCCCTGGGAATCCCCTTTGTAGAACTGTTGGTCTTTTTTGATCCTTTTATTGGCTTACTTGTCTTGAGTTGGGCTCTGTTGTCTTCCAGGGCTGGTACATCTTGGACCACTTCCTGGTTCTGTTCATCTCCTTCCAAGTCCTTAGAGTCACTGGGCTCAGATGCTTCCCATAGCAGGTTGTGAGTCTTGATGTCCTCACTTGGGTCCACTTTATTGTGTTCAACTGCATCATCTTCTTCACTGCTGAGTTGAGCTAATGATGCCATTCGTAAAGGAAGCACCACCTTTTCTTGAGTTGGCAAAGTTCCTCCTGTCTGCTGACCATTTCTGGTGGCTGCCTGAAGGTCCACATCATCTGGCTTCTCTGATTTAGACGCTTTTCTTGGTTCTGAATTTAGTAATGACTGTATGTCACGGTAACAGAGGTTCAATAAGCTAAAGATTGCAAGGACAAATTCATCAAAACTGATGGTGCCTTCACTGTCAATATCTAGAAGATTCAATTTTCTCTCCACAGCATGAATGATATGTGGCTGCATGGAAACACAACGAGAAAACAGCTTATTTATATGTGGTCAAGCGTCCTGAGTATCTGTATGTCTCCCAGGAATGCTCTTTTTTTGACCCTGTTCCTCAAGAGTGAGTGAAATTTCCCCAGAGAGAATTCATTGGTTATGATGCCACTTTTCATCAGAGAGCTATTTTTATGACTAAGAAGCAATTGCATGATTCATAATGCTTTGTGAATCCATTCAGATGTCTGCTTTAATGAAGCAATAGTCCCAATAATAAAAATCTCCTTTTCTCTAAAGGACTGACTAAGCAATTGCACAGGTGAGGCAACTAGACTGCAAAATATTGATCAAGTCTGTGAGAACTGAAAGTTGAAGCCAAGTATAAAATGGATTATGAAGAAGAATTTTCACAGCTCTTGTGAGCAGCTCACCTGAAGAAAGTCTCCAAATTCGCCCTGAAGGAGCAGTTTCAACTCTCTGTAAGTCATCGTTGCCTTGTTACCATCCTCACTGGCATACTTGTGGAATGTCTCGATTATACAGAGGACATCTCTCAGAAGTTGCGGCATCTTTGCAAACTCAGGAGAGACTGCAAGAAAGAACAAAGCTCATTTCCCAGGATAGACCCTTTTTGCCCCTCCTCCCAGCTCTCCTTGCATCACCTCCCCTATTCTATATCTTAAAATATTCTACCTGAACTCCAGGAGTGATTTGGTTTTGCTTGGGACACTGTGGTGAGATCAGATTATAGTACAGGTAAGTATTAGAACAGACATTTCATACTACTCTGCAGTAAACAACAATGCTTATCTGTTCAGAGAACACTTTATTTCAAGAAGAGGGTGAAAAAAGAACACAAGCATAAATATTTAAATGCATAAATGAAGTCAACAGAAGGGGATCAATCCTTTGAACCTCATCTGAGAGTGTCTACCTACTTTCCTCCCACCTTGGCCAGTCCAACCTCCTTGTCTTAGGAAAGAAAGTATAGCCTTTATAGTTAGTAAAGCTTCTAGAGGGAAGAGAAGTAATTGCCAAGAAAGTCAATCCTTGTGTTTGTAGGGAGAAGTAACATATTTTAACCAAGAAAACATGGTTCCATGTGAACTTACTGGAAAATAGAGTTCTGATCCCTCAGTCATTACCTATTACTTAAGTGACTCTACATTTCCATTTTAATATAGAGCTAAGTTCTATGTCTTATTAAAAGAATTCAAGCCAATCATCCAAACAGTTTATATTTTTTTAAAAAAGAAAATGATCAAAGAAGTTCCAAAAGTAAAGAATGCATTTGGGATGGCTGAATGTGCAGTTTAATATTATTAACTGGGATTGACTTATAGCATGTTTCCTCTGAACTACTAATGCAATCTCACATAGAAGTAAAGAAATGCCTGAGACCCTAGGTATGCTCAAGCAGATAGTCCATGAGACTTACCTTGTTCACAGGAGAGAGCAAGCGGTATGTGGGGCAGCGGCTGTGAACTGGCAGCAGGAGCTGCAACCTTTTATTGAGTCTCTAATTGCACAGTTAGAAGGAGACACCCTCTGGGTCTAATGACCTGATTCATCACCACCAAACCCAGTCTCCCTCCTTCTCTGCCCTCAGCTTGTCTTATTTTTATTCCCTTCTTTAGGCAGTTTCAATTAAGTCTTAGCATCAGATTTATCCAAAGGATGGGGAGGGGTCTCCTTTTCATTTACTGCCTTTTGCCTGGTAGTATATTTTGAGGCATCTTCAGGGCTTCAAGGTGGTCTCTCTCTCTTTTTGCATTCATTAATTTTTTTAACCTGAGGACACAATTATATTCCTGTTTGACAAATCACAAGACTGGCAGGGACCTCCAAAGTCATCTGATTCCGGTCTCTGCCTGCCAGATGGCCTGCATTTGACCTAACCCTGAGAGATAGGTGTCAATCATGTGTTTAAAAATAAAAGGCCCCACTTAGTCATGTGACAAAAGTGGAGCTACCAGTTGATTAAGCTATTTTAATGCTCTGCTCTCCTTGCCCAGAGACAATTAGGAAAACAAAAATCTCTTGCAGGGTGTGCAGAACTTTGCTTACCTAAGATGCTGCTATTTTTAAAATGTAATTAAAAATGCCTTGAAAAGGCATTTTTATAATTCAAGGAGCTTAGATGTGAGCACCCATATTACTGTGTTCTCTCTGTAATAGGGAAAAGATGTGGAAATTGAGGGAGGACAGAAGTGAGTCTGAGATACCAAAGGTAAAATGCTTTATTACCTCATAGATCTGAGTCCCTCTTAGAGAAGATTTAATTAACAGGAGAATTAGATTCATTTGTTTTCTTAGATATTTAAAAAGAGAGTAGAGTAAACATCCTTGCCTCTTTTTCAAAGGATGTAAGAAATAGACAACAGAACCATGGAAACAAATGTAAAAGACAAAGACCAAGTCAATGAAGGTGTGAAGATGGGGGTAATTAAATGAGAAAACTAAGGCTGCATTGCTCTGCAGCAAAAATATTGTTCTGAGTTTCCTAATAATCAAGACAAGAACAAGGTAATTGAATGTTTAGGAAAAATCTACTTTGATAGTTTTCTGAGCATCTCTTCCAAAAGGGAGAAGACTTCTACTGAGAGCTGGGATTGACAAAAAAAGGTCATCTTAGTTTTGATTAGTTAACATCCTCTGAGTACAAACTACTTCTCAAACCCATGCCAAGCACTGGGGTGTTTAGGTTGCATAAGTTATGTCTCCTTGCCCTGGAGCTCACTGCCCAGTTCATGAGAAGTGGTTGCAGAAAGCCACTTATGTTCAGGATGAATTGGAGACAAAGACTTAGGGGAGACACAAATAACTGTGTCCAAACATCTGAAGGGAATTAATGGGTGTGGAAAAGAAAGGAAATAATGTTCACTGAACACTCATGACTGTCAGCTGCTTTACATAGGCTGTATTAACACTCACAGCCTTATAGGTAGTAATTATCCTCTTTGAACAGATAAGAAAGTTAAGCTCTTAACTGTTGAGCAACTTGCCTATGGATGTGTACCTAGCAAATGGCAGAGCCCAGATTCAGAACTGAAATGTCTCAAGAATATATGTCTATGGGGCCATAGTCTTCCCCCAACTTGAGTTCCTTATTCTGTTATGCCAGAGAATTCATCTGGAATCAATGGCTGAAATTTTCTAGAAAGCAAACTAGTTCTTATTAGTAACTTTCTAATGAGTAGAGTTGTGTGACAATAATGTGTGCTGCTCCTAAAGCAGTGAGATCTCTGTCACTAGAACTGTTCACATAGAGGCTGAATCATCCATTATTCATTGGTTAGGTTGTAGGAGGAGTCCTGCCATGGAAAAGATAATGCAGGAGTAGTTCATTGAAGAGCACAAAACTCCTCCAACTTTAAATGTCTGTGGTTTTATGTTATAGTTCCTATTTAGTAAGTCGAAGTTGACTCCTGCCCTGTCTCCTGAGCCCTCAAACAGGCACTCCTACTTTTTCAGTGCTTAATCAAGATCATTTAATTAATACTCATATCTGGGTGGGTAATGACTCAGAGGAATAGCAGAGGAGGAACAAGATTGCTCTTTATCTAGTGTTTTAAAAAGTATTTAGACTATAGTACAATAAGCCACAAATAGCTCTACCATTAACAAAGATAACAAAGAGAAGACTGCTCTTTCTTCTCTTATTTTTTTTTTCTTTTAGTTAACATGTTTATTTATTTATTTTTTTTTCATTTTTCTTTTATTATTCATATGTGCATACAAGGCTTGGTTCATTTCTCCCCCCTGCCCCCACCCCCTCCCTTACCACCCACTCCACCCCCTCCCGCTCCCCCCCTCAATACCCAGCAGAAACTTCTTTCTTCTCTTAAACAGCTCTCTGCAATAGTCCCTTGGTGTTCTCTTTTCTCCAATTTTGTATGGAGATGGTACAGAAATGTTGATGAGAGAAAGAGAGAGAGAGAGAGAGAAACAATGAAAAAATATTGATTAGAACTATCTTTAACAGCCTACCACTCAAAGATTACAACTGAAGTCTTTTTCTTTTCTTGGCAGTGCTGGGGTTTGGACTCAAGGCCTTACACTTGCTAGGCAATTGTTTTGCCCCTTGAGCTATGCCACCAGCCCACAACTGAGGTCTTGAATGAAGGCTTCAAATAAAACCTATGTGATGGCTACTTTGGAAAAGAATGGTCAATAAAACAAAATTTAATGATTATAATACTGGAAAATTTGGCAAAAAAGAGGGGTTTAAACTTAAACATATATTTTCATTATCTTTTTTAATTATAAAAACAATAGGAATTTGTTCAAGATGGTGGTGGACTGAGCCATGATCTTGTCCCTCCTGGGATCCTCTAAAATCAAAGTGTCAGTATAGAAAAGAAGAAAAATAAACTATAATTATGCATAAAACTGAGAGAGAATCCTAAGTGAGTGAGAGGTTTCAATACAGGTATGGGAAATGGAAAGAAGATGATTGAATGTTCATGACTGAAACAAAGAAAGGCACAGTCTTTCAAATTGTGTTTTAAGTGCATGGCAGAGCTAAAGCAAGATCTGACCATCAGAACCTGGTGAAGTGCTGGACTCAGAATTAGCAGGCATGATGTGGATGAGTGAGAAGTGATGTTGTAAACAGAAGCAGTGACCGAAGTTTTGTGTATGGGACATGTCTCAGTAGTCATTACCATCTCCCTTCTTCACAGGGCACAGAACACAGACATCTGGGCATTTACTGTCTGTTCTCTGTAAAATCCCAAGCGGCCCTTCCCTAAAAAATTGAGCAACCTTCCTAGAAATGCTAAATATAAGCTTCTTGAGGAAAGGACTCTGTGTGTCCGTTAGGAGAGAACCTGAACTATAGTGGGTGCTCTATGAATATTTGTTGACCATTTGATAGACTGACTGAGCACTAAGAAGTCTAGTATAGAAATTGATGCTCCAGGAAAATGCTCTCCAGTATGGCATTTGGGAGTGTGTTAGTCTATAGCCTGATAGGCATTTATTTGCAAGCTGACAGACTCTCCCTAATCTTGTCATAAATTTCCCACTTACTATGACAAGACTTATTTACATGAATCAGGAGAAACTCATATCTTTTTATTTATATAAATGGACAACCAAGAATATTTTTACATATGAATGTCAGTAACATGAAAGACAATGAACAAGATATACAAAAAAAGCTGATACCAGAGAAAATAGGCAAAATACAGACAATAGAAGTTTAAAAACTTTAATGAATATTTTTAATTTCTTGAGGAACCTTCATACTCTTTTCCATAATAGTTGTATTAATTTAAATTTTCACCAATAGTAAACCAGGATTCCCTTTTCTCCACATCCTAAAAAAACTTGCCATCATTTGTCTTTTTGATAATAGCTATTCTAATAGTGAGGCAGGCTAGGAGTAGGGAAGGTTTGGGGTTCATGTAGGTTGCCCAGGTATGGCCCAGACCATTCGCACCTGGCTGGGATCCACCTGTGCTCCTCTCCACCCACTGCTTATTGGATGGGAGTCTTCTGGGTCTACCCTTCCCATGGGTTAGTATAGGTTCTAAAAGCACCTGAAAAAGAAAAGCATGCGCTT